CAAGCTCTCTACTCACCTGAGGAAGGAATTCTGCCAGTAATCAATAAATAATACAAGCTTCCACCTGCTTGGTCAGTCAAATCATTCAAATAAAAACCTCCCAATTCATCCAATTATTTAGCATTTACTCACATTCCAGTCCTCATGGAAATACTTTGACACACAATGAAGAATCACTTCTATATTATAGTACTTTGTTGATCAAATTAAAGTTTGGAGTCCTAAACTTAGGCCTAAGGTATCACGTGAACTGCAGATGGCCACCCCTGTTGCTCAGAGTCCTGGGAAACTGTGTAAGCAAGTGCAGGAATGAAGACCTTGCAGGCCAAAGCTCAGTTTGCTTTCTCAAATGCTAAGGTCAAACACCATTTTTCTAAATTAATTTAAATCAGAACCCACAAAGCGATCTTTCACAGCAAAGACAAGATCTCTTTTTTTCTTCAGGTTCTGTTAAATATTTTAAGCACTTGGCCATGGAAGTTACTGATGACTGTGCAACACAGCTGTATAACCAACTTTCCAGGATCTTCTTAATTTGCTTCTAGAAGATGCACTTTTGATCTTGGCAGCTCTGTTTTTTATAAAAAGATATTGTATCTCCTATTTTGACAGGAACAGACAGGAAACAAAGAGGGCATGGTCCTATAGTGGCACTTTATCAACTAGCACATACTAATTTTTAAATTTTTAAAAAATAAACATTACCACAACAAAACTGCCACCATTATTTGTCAGCATCTGAATTTTCCAAAGCAATATAGTAAGAATGCAAACATCATCATTATTGTTGAAGAAACTCTATTATGTAGATTCTGTAGCAAAATCCAGCCTCTTTCTCTCTCTTTCAAACTAACTTCACTTTCCACCCTTCCAAGCACTTATGGTCTCCTTATTTCAGATAACAATGTCTACTTATTACAGAGAAAAAGTGCAGATGGTTCTTCATTACCAGCCTCTGACGTGTACAGAGCCTTCCAGAATGCACCCATGAGGTTAAACTTAAGACTGTGGATGTAAAATTAAATATATATTTCCAGTCCAGTCTTCAATAAAGAATACATTTACTTGACATATATTTTATGGAAATTGTATGTGTCTGGGCATATGCATCAATATATATTTATATACAGTTCACATGAATAAAATTATTGTTTATGCATACAAAATTATATATATTTTCTTCAACAATTTCCATATTCAAGGATAAAACTAGTGCTGCCTTGCTGTTGGCTACATTCATCTCTGTGAATAAATTCTACAATATTGTTTGATGGTGGTTATTTGACATCAATTAGCAGGCCACAATGTCCTGCATACAAACATGAAAAAGATCTCAAGAAAGGGCTCTCCTGAGACCTCCAATTAGAATAAAGCCTCTTTTTTTTTTTTCCCCCGTTTAGTTTTTTAAGAAAAAGCCCTCCGTGGTGTTCTCAGTATCAAAGCCATAGGAAAAGAGACCTATATGGAGAAGGAGGACACACTTAACCTCACATTTAAATGACAGAACCAATAAAGAGAGGTAGTGATCCTCCTCTTCACTGCCTGTCAAATTATGGGATGATTTGCTAAGGCCAAAAATACAGCTAATGGTTCTGCTAGAATATCTGCTGCTCTGGTAAAGAAAGCAACACAGCTAACAGCTTCTACTTATGCAAGAAGTGACCTCTGTAGTCTTCTGAGCTGTCACCTACTCAAGCATATTGCACATAAACCAGGTAGCAAAGCGTGACCCAAGGCCGCTACACATGCCTAACACACATTTGTGGTAACGTTAATATTAGGTGTCAGTGAGGTGTCAACACTGGTCTTCAGGACATCACAGCAGCTGTATTATTTCACTTGAATGGATCTGAGAGAACAAGATCTCAACAGAAAAGCTCAGTCTATCAAAAGCAAAATGGTAACTCCTTCAAGGCAAGCAGCTAGAATTTATTCCCTATCCGCCTGCTTGAACAGGTCTGGGGTCTCAACCCAATCAGCACACTGCTGAACAGCGATCCAGCAAAATACACTACCTGTCCTAAAGATAATAGCACCCTGATGTCAACGTGACCATTTCTAGTCTCAAAATCCTGTGTTTTCAGAACGCTTTGGTGAATCGAAACAGATTATTCAACCCCTCAGAGGAACAGAACTGTATTCATATACATATGTGAAATTTTAGAAGGAAATATGCTTCCACATACAATATACACTTGCAAAATACATAACACTCACAAAAATAAAATGTTTAAGATGTCCGTTATTTGTTGTGTCCCAATTACATTCTACCTCTGTATTCTAGGACTTCTGACATAAGGAAATAACATTTAGTCTTAAGTATATACATACCAGTACGTGTGTTGGGGGAAAACAAGGGAAAGGGAGAGAGAAATGGCTATAAATTTTCTTTTTCCTTGGTTAACTCTATGTTCATACACATTCCCCATCTTCCCAACTGAGATCTCTTACTTAGAAGTAGTTGCTCCTCCAATCAGCAAAGGAATCTTTATTGCCAGTCTCTCCATTTCCTTGGCGACAAAAATCATTTCATCCAAAGAAGGGGTGATGAGACCAGATAGGCCAATTATATCTATTGCAAATTTACAAACAGACATACACAAAAGGCTTAGCAAATCCACTCTAGAAAGACACAAATTATTACAGAAAGCATTTCTTTCATACATCAGATAGCTTCGTATGTCAGATAGAAAATAGTAAGATAAAAAAAGCAGGGTAGTTGCTAGACTAGAAGCAAGGTTTGACCTAATTAGAAAGTGAAAGCTTTCCAAGAATGAGAGTGATTCCAAATCCCCAGTTTAGGATTTTCCTCAAGCAGTCTTCACAGCTGCTGAACACCTACTGCTCTAGTTTCAACAATAAATACACAGTGCTTCTGATTAGCAAACTTAAAACCTCAGAAGTTTGGCACTGAGGAGGGAAATAAGACAAAGTAATGTGCTCTTAGAAACAGCAGATGCTTTTGAACTTCACCACCTATGTTCCACACAATTCATCTTTTCCAAGATCCAATAGACTGTTTCAAAGCACCTGTAACTTGTTTCAGAAAGTTCGTTATTTATTAGAACAACTCATTCCTGATTTCACACTCACTGATCTGGCAGGCTGAATGCCAAGTTCTTTTACTGATTTAAGATCCAACACAAAGTTATTTAACCTTTCCCAGTCTCCATTTATCCATCTGTAAAACAAATACTAAAAAAATCTCTCTTGCAGTTGTCCTTTTGATACAGGCTTTCAGTTCCTCAGCCTAGGTTTCACAGAAGTGCCAAATACTAAATGATTTTACTATTGTCAATGCAAAAGTTCTGATTTATCTGCAGATAGCCTGACCAAATCATAGGCAGCATAGGAATGCAACGAGTAGCAATAAAAAAAAATGTGAGTGCGGTTTAAAATCAAACAATTCAGGAGTACTAATGAAATCTCTCTATACCTGCTTTGTTCTCAACAGCAGCTCTCAATATCTTATCACATGGAGTCATGACTCCTAAATCAATAACTCTGTGAAAAGAAGTGAGATGACACAAGATTCTTTAAAAAACAGGTCAAATTTCTGCTAAAGGGCAAATACATTGCTCTTACTGTAAATGACTGACCTAAAATTGAAGTTAAAATTGAGGTTCTTGATTGTTTGTTTCTCTTAAGACCTCTGTTGGGAATTTTAATTTAGGAAATAACTCTGGGTTTTGCAAAATTTTCAATATGTCAAAGTTCTAAATGATACAGTAGATAAGAAAATTCAGGTGTAAGAGGCTTTTTTTTTTTGTGGTTGTACTAAATCTGGCGGAGATGGTGTTAATATTCTTTATAGCAGCTGGTATGGTGCTGTGTTTTAGATTTGTGACCAAAACAATGCTGATAACACAGTAATGTTTTAACTATTGACGAACATTGTCCAGCATCACGGCCTTCTCTGCTGCTCACTCTAACTCCCCAGGGAATAGACTGGGGGGTGCACAAGAGGTTGGGAATAGACACAACCAGGTAGATGGCGTAAACTAACCAAAGAAATCATATGCCACGGAATCTGTCATGCTCAGCAAGAAAAAAGGGAGAGGAAAGGGTTTAGTGGGGGTTAGCCATGTTTTGCTCAGGAACAGTCTACCTGTGGGAAGTGGTGAGTGATTGCCTCCGCGTCATTTGTTTTGTTTTTTCTTTCTCTCTTCTTCCACTTCTCCTTCGCTTATTAGACATTTTTATCTCCACCCATCATTTTTCTTGCTTTTATTCTTCCTTTCCGCTTTCCCCATCCCACTGCGGTTGGCTGGGTGGAAGCGAGTGAATGGCTGTGTGGTGCCTAGCTGCCTACCAGGGTAAACCAACAGCAGTGCCACTTCTGAAGTTATTTGGACAATACAAAAAGGTTTTGTGGACATCACATCTTATGTCAGGAACATAAGATGACTCACATCAAGGTTCTTTTTTGTCTTATTAAAGTATACATTTTATGAAACGAGACACTCTGCACTTCCCTTGCTAGCATTTTATTCCTATAAACCCTAGCCATTGCCAAGGTTTTTACTTTTTTCAAGTAAGCCACCCCAGCCTGCTAGCTTCATTCAGCCTCACTCACACTCATGGTGATAGAAAACATGACGGCTTCAGCTCAGCAGGTCTAAATGAAGCTCAAGAAAGCCTGAAACCAATCAACAGCATTTCAAGAGATAATGAAACGGAATATACTGCTTATACACAGCACTGCTACTGGCTTCAAACCTTCATGTTTTAAAATAAAGAGATCATTTTGGCTCTTTTAGAGCAAATTGCAGCCCCAAGTCAAAAACAAAACTAAAGGAATGAACGGTAAGTAAGACAGAGTTCCAAAGCAGATTCAGCTTTGTGCAACATTTGGCAGACATTTGACAAAGGGCTCTGATGGAAACGTGAGCATTCACACCAACGCTGTTGCCAACCCTGCTGCATGTCCACAGGCCTTAAAAGAGCTGACTTTTCTTGAAGTTGTATCTTTTGAAGCTCAGAAACAGGATAAGAATCTCCACTCTTATTTAACAAAAACACACTCCAGCGAGTTTTTAAAACCTCAGAGTTAACAAACAGCTCGATAAACATATTAAAAGGTTCACTCAAATCTTACAAGACTTCCTTTTTCCCAACACAACCCACAACCCACATGTAGTCTTGCCTACAATTGTTGTATCTGACTATTTCAGACATTATACTTACGTGTTTAAGGCATTATACTTATTATATTTAACTAACATTAAACAAATACAAAAATTGATGCTCTCATCCACGTTTCAGTTGATGTTAAACTGTATTCACCTCATATGCCAATTTATTAGGAAAAAGGTATTAAAGGAGGAGGCTATACTCCCTCTTGCCTCCCCATTAGTAATAGCTGGTATGATCTGTGTTCCTAACCACAACTTGGGGAACAGAGGACAGTTCCCAAGAAATGCCCACCTTTGTAATCACCACAGCTGCAGCTAGCCTAATATGTTAATTAGCCAGCCTTATCCAGTTGCGTCCCAGCTACCTAACGTTAGCCTCTTTACCTGAAGTTGTTGCAGCCCAGAACGACTGCCACAATGTTCTTGCCAATATCATGTACGTCTCCTTTCACAGTTGCTAGTACTATTGTACCTTGATAAGGATCCTGAAAGTTGAACAAATAACACAAGAGTTAAATTACTCAGAAGCCTCAGTATGTTTGCACAGATCCTTCAACAGTGCAATCCTAATCCATGACCGAGACTCCTATTGTAGTACAAGCAATTGCAAAGTGTAATAGAGGTAATATAGTCAATATTAAAAACTATTTTAAAAGATCCAGGTAATAACGCTTGCACAAGAATTATTCTTGCAAATTGTGTGCATGTTATTCAAAAAAATCTGTGTTTTAAAAAAAAGAAAATAGATCAAAACAAATCAGATCTGGAAAGCATTTTGTCCAGTGCAATAACTGAATTCGTAAGGTACCTCTGCTCCAAATATGAACCTCACCAATAAAGAGTTTAAATAGATTAAATATTTAGAACAAAAGGGTATGAACACTCATAATTACACGCCTGTTTGTGCATCAAGAACAATCTTTCAATGCAACCCTGAGAGGAATTAACAAAAGCAGAAGAGACTAATTTTTGATGCAACAGGAATAGCAAGGGAGACATTTCAATGCAGTGATCAGGCTACTTCAGACTACCCAAGCTGAACAAAGAGGCTGGAAAAGGGATCTCCTTGAAGAAGGGAAGCTGTACTGTCACAAACTTGTCCTAGGCTAGCCAGCATTCAGCCCTGACAAAGGGGGCTTACCAGCAGGGCAACAGTGGAACTTCCTATAGCACTTCTCCACCAGGACACAGGCCTTTGTGATACATTTTTAGTTATATAATCAGTGCTGCCATTTGGAGCAGCTCTAGGTTTTCACAGTGCCATGTTTGAGTTGGTGCAGGATCAGATGCCAGTAACCGACTAATTAAATTGCACAGAATTTAAATAAAGTGGAAACCTGAGCATAGTCTACGTGAAACTGCAAAATATTTTCCCAGCCAGTATCTCACCTCCTTTGCAGATGGCAGAACTGGAGGCTTAGATCCTTCTATGAAACATGTTACATTACAGGACAGTATCGAGTAGCTCTCGACTTCATGAACCTACACTGCCTTGCGTAGTTGCAATTTTCTGAGGGGAAAAAAGCTTCATCTATTACCAAGAGCGATACTAGCATTTCCTATGGTCCTAACACATTTGTTGAATAAAATCCCTGATCCTTACCAATGCTGCTGTTTACTAAAATGTATTATCTCCCCTGTGCTCCTGTTTTACAGAAGATCGGGGAACAGAAAAAACAAAATGGAGGTCTGTAAGTCAGCCATCTCAGTACATCAATAAAAAAATTTGCAGCTGAAAATATGCTGCTGAAACATAAGAGAAAACTGGGGAAAGAGATTAATCAAGGACTGGGGGAAGAACAAACAGAGCTACCCACGTATATCATACCTAATAACTACTGATGATTTAACTAGTGATTGATATCCAAGAAAAAAAAAAAAATTGGATTTGCACATGAGAAGGAAAATGTGTTCTGGGCAGCAAACCACCTGGGTCAGAGCACACAGTATTTAAAATAAACCCTATTTAGGGCACACTGTGATTTCAATTGTCCCAAGCAAGCAGCTCCTCAAGTTCTGGGCACACATCCAAAGGGCTTCTTATTTTTTTAATCCTGATAAGAGATCCACAGACACAGCTATTTATCCTCAAATGCTTTGTATTTCCTGGCAGTCTGTGACTAAAACTGTCCTGGAGGTTACAGTAACATCAGATGGATCAGCTACCAGAGTCTGCCAATCACTCTCCTTCAAGTCAGTATCTAACTTTGGAGATAAATACAGCTGTTTTTTCCTCTCTCACCAATTCTCTATACATTGACCACATTTTTTTTATTTTTTTTTTTTGAGAGTAAGGCAGCCCAGCAGAAGGTGGAGGAATCTCTTCAGAGTACTTGCTAGATTTTTAAGAACCTCTGCAATTCCACTTCATGTCTTTTTAGCCAGAGAATTAAGTGCCAGAGGGTTCACAGTAGATCCTAATCCAGTGCCCATGGAAGCAATGTGGTAATGATTTTTACTGACTCCAAATAGCATCAGAACAAACCAGAAGGTGCCAAATACCGGCATTGTCATCTGAATTAAAATAAAAAAGAACAGCATGAGCAGGAGAAAGATGACACATAGAAAGGTGACTCATGGCAGCCAGAAAACAGATCCGCTTAGGATACTGGAGAGAAGACACCTTCACATCCAGAAAGAGCATGGGAAAAAAGACTAGACATTCTCCTTCTTCCATTAAGATTAGTTAGGTTTGATTGTCAGGTCATTTTTCTTTCTCAAATATTTGCTGTATTCATTACATTTAAACTGGACAATCACACAACAGATGGCAAATGGAAAGATAGAGTGTAAGAAGATTTCAAGGGAAGAACTAGGAACCATTCAAAAATCCACGCAATAGAAACCAAAGGCAATATACAAATATCACAATTCAGAGAAATTCTGCTATTCTTCCTTTTTTGTGTGTGTGTGTGTGTGTTAAATACCAGATTCTGATAATAACTATCGTCTCTGAGAACTCATGAAGACACGGTAAGGTCCCACAGGACTAAAGAAAAGCAAAAGCTTATCAAACCTAAATTTGATACTCCGACAACCAAACTGTAAGCACCTATCACATTATAAATATAGTAGGAAACAACAGACATGACTATTTAAAAAGAGGATTTTGTCCAATTTATCTGAACTCTCTTTTCTACTGAATAGAATCTTGTCAGTATGGAGGAACAAGGGACATCCTATATCTTCATTTTCCAATGCTCCTGTCACATACTCCATTAACCAAATTTGGAAAAAATTACTTCAAGTATATGCACAGGTAGTTGATAAAACTATTCTCAAGCATCACCAATATGTGATGTTTCCTGTGAAACAGGAAATACCATAAAGGAAAGGCCCACAAAGATCTGAAAGTCACTGGATATTTTCAATTATATATATTTTACATATTATGTAAAAAGTAGTCTTCAGAAACTGGTGGAAAAACACACATATGAAAAGACAACTACATTCAGATGCTGTTTTCATAAACACTGTCCCCTGCAACTTGGTCATGGCTACACATGCAATGAGCATACTCTTCTATCATAACAACAGGTCTTGAAGTCACAATCTGTGAAGAAGAAGGACGGAAGAAATTGGTTTGTTTAGCTGGAAGAATGGCCAGGGGTAGGGAGTAGGGAAGAGATGAATGAAGAAAAACATGGTAACGGGCTTTGAACATGTAAAAGGGGGTTCCGTAGTTCACTGAGGGCAGAAGTAGTAGAAGAAAATGACAAAATTTGCCATAAAGTTAGAAGTGCCATAAACAAATAACACTACAATTAAATATATAAAGGGCCTACAAAGGCTTATGGCATTCTTCAGGAAAATTGTGACAACAGCTTAGGCACGCACCAAGCAGAGTTCCAGAAAGTCTGTGCTTTATGAATTTCAGACCTACTCCAAATTACACTGAGATTTTCAGTTTCCGTATGACTGCATCAACCCTCCAGCATGAAAGCTCAATAAATGTCATTAGCAAAAAATAATTTCAATTTTTCTCATGGCATGCTATGAAAGATTTACAGCACAAAGGACTGTGTCTTGCCTCTTCCTCTGTGCTGCCTCGTTCGGCCCTCCTTTCCTCTCTTTCTTTTTCCATATAGGGAATAAGGTGGCCAACTGCTTTCTTCATAACTCGAGCAGACTTTATCACCTGCATAGATAAACAGAGGGTGGGGGGGAATAAACAATAAAGATCAGGCATAGGAATAGTCTCATATTTGTCATAGCTTTCTTTTATACCTATTCAAACAATTAAAAACCCTTCATTTGTAAACCCAGAGTCCAGCCTTGCAGAGTGTTCTGTGGTAGCAGGCTGCTGGCCCTACTGGCACAAGGGCCTACACATGACACTTGCTTTCACAGTGCAACCTCTCGGACCACTCACAACAGAATTGGAAGCTACAGACAGGCACAGACTTGGATGGTGCTAAAACCAGCGATTTTTATTTGGAACTTTTTTCTCTCTTGCTCTTTTTCATGGGCCCAGACCTAAAAATGCAATTCAAATAAAGCAAAAACACTCAGGAAGAAAGGAAACAAACTTGTAAACTACATCAAAAAAGTCAAGTTCCAAAGTAAAGAAAAAATAGGGCTGCTTCTTAGCAGCACCTGAATCTTCCCAATTCATATGCTATTATATCTGAAAAAGCAGCCAGCACAGAATGCCTTGGCTACATTTTACAATGCTATTTGTTGCAAAATATGAAAATATACGAAATAATTTTCTCTTTACCTGAGGCAGAAACATCTTTCCAGCACCAAAAAGATCACCGACAATTTTCATGCCATTCATCAAAGGCCCTTCAATTACATTTAGAGGTCTGGGATATTTTTCCTGATTTAATCTTGCTTCTTCTGTATCTGCAGTGACATACTTCTCAATGCCCTGGGAAAAAAATTGAGAAGCTTTTATCTTGCTAGAAATACAGCTTTTATTTAGTTGCCTTCTCCCCCCAAAAAATCACAATGAATGTACAAACAGATACTTTAGATACTGCTAGTCTTTAAGAATACCTCAAATGTGTATTTAAAATAGGTTTTCTTAGGAGACAAAACACTGTAGTTCTTAGGCATATGAAGTTATTCAAAGCAAGAGTCCCCAGTATTAACAGGCTGGTTTGTTTTTCTTAACCATGTCATAAGAAAAAATGAACATTCAAAGATTGCTTCCCCAGCACAAGTGCCACTCAGTGCAATACTGTTAAAGGACAAAAAAAAAATCCCTAGAAAGTAAAAGCAGTATGCTACAATGTAAAAGAAACACGTTTCTACCAACACTAGTGGAATAAAATATTAACGGTCAAAGACTTCAATTTGTAAAGTTTAAAGAAAATCACCACCATTTTCTCTGTTATTAAAGTTAATACAATATATTAATGAAATATATTATTCATTATTAATTAATAGCTTTCAAAAGAATGGCAGTTGAAGAATTTTTAAAGCCAAAAGTGTCCATTAAAGTCTGAGCTGAGATCATGTCTCTGAGAGCTGATGAGTAGGACAATTTTCTGCACAGACTCACCTTTATCAGAGCATATTCCAGCCTTTCCTCCACAGAGCTGTTCCGCCACTCATCGGTCTGTACAACTTTTCTTCCTCCTTGGGCATGATTCTGAAAAGGAAAGACATTCATAGGAGATTGCAAGCATAAAATGTACAACTATGGACTTTATTTTTAGACAAGTGAAGATGACTTCAAGTACCGACCCAAAAAGTTTTTTTATAAACATGCAAATGATCTTGCAAATACCTGTGATGTATTCCAGGTACTTAGGGGGTCTACATCCCAAATATTATATACCTCAATGAATGTAAGATGTAAGAAAAATAAACCCCCCAAAAAAAGAAAAAAAACGACAGTAAAGGAAAAAAAAAAAAAAAAAAAAGAGGGAACAGTTTAATAATTTTCACGCTTTTAAAAATAATGAAATGACTAATCCTACAAGTTTTACTTCTGGGAACACAATTTAAATTGATTCCTGGCCCACACGCTACACTTCGTTTTAAAATTCTAATTAATTTGGCACTAATTCAGTTTCTGCTGGAACAGGTTATGTTATTCCATATCACAGATGTGTTTTCAATCAGGCGGCCTACAGCACTACTGTTTCTCATGTACATAGACTGTCCCAAACCCTGCATATTCTCTTTGCCTCACACTCCCCTTTGCTATGAATGCAAAGGCCAAAAGGGCTTCACAACGCAAGAAAGCTCATAAACAGCCATCCCAGGAAGGCTCACGGAAGAGTACACTATCCATTACATCAACCACCACACTTCAGGCAGGTAATTTCTTTTCCTCTCTCAGTTATTCAACGTAATCTGACATCTTTAGGTCCTTCTGAACCTCCTATACTTTTGAGTGCTCATCAGCAAGTTTTTAAAGATTGAGCCACAGGAAAAGTCATGGAAACAAGATCTCACTCATGGGAACAGAAACTGGAACAAGTTTTTATTCATGTTTATAGGAATGCTAGCTAACTTCACAGCTTCTCATTGCCAAACCTTATTCCCCTCATAGGTCTAGTTTGTAAAAAAAGAATGAAAGGAGGAGGGAAATGTTGCCCAGAGAGGTTGCAGATTCTCCATCCTTAGTTATATTAAAAACCCAATTGAACGTGTCCCTGAACAACCTGCTCTTGCAGACGTTCCTCTGAGCAGGGAGGTTGTACAAGATGACCTCCAGAGGTCCCTTCCCATCTCAGCCCTTCTGTGATTCAGTGAAAAGGGACCAACTGCTCCTCAACCTCTGACCAGACACTTTAGCAAGGGAACCATTCCAAACCAAAAATAACCCATGAAGCTGTAGGGTGGGAATGCAGGGACCACAGTGGCAAGCACTACATGCAGGTCTTTAAAAACAGGATGATTATACCGCATGCCAAGGATGAAAAAAACTGCCTTTGGAAGTACAACTTCCACTGCCATAAATGGGACAAAGTTTCAGTTTGAGAACGTCTGCAGCTGTACACTTCATGGAAAATGTTTTTTAATCTCAAACTTCAAATGAAGACTGATTTTTGATAACCCTTTCAGTGTAGAAGTTTTTCCTAAGGTCTAACATTCAAGCAACTGGCAAGGTATATTACTATTACCTAAAGGAACTAGGAGGAAACTTCACTGGTGCTCTATTAGAGGTGCAATACTTGAAATGGGACTGCACATTCTATGTTCTTTGTGCAGAATAAACTGCAGTAATTGGAAATAAAAAGAATACATGCACTTACTGACTAATGAATACACATTTGTGTTTAAAAAAAAACACTTTAGACCAAAGAACTAAGAGCCATTCAATTCCACTATATCAGAGGAAGATCTGAATTAATATTTTGAAATATGCCTCAAACTCCAAAACCTTATGTAATAGTCCTTCTCACTGGCTGTAAGTGACTATCTATTTGGACGCTCAGATTTGTCCAGAGCCAAGATGAAACCCAAATCAGGATGCTTACCTCCAGTGAAAACCTGAAAGTTGTAATATTTTATGTTAAATTTTAATAGAGCTTTTAAAGATGTTTTGAATCAAGACCATCTCTCTTCTTTGCAACGGGGGGGCTGTTTTACTCCCACAATAAAACTACCACCATGACTAAGAGCAGAGATTCCAACAATGGCTTCCCAAACTTCTGAACCTAGGAGGAGTCATCATCCACTTCCATTTCTACTTTTCATGCTCTATTTAAATCCACATTCTGCCTTCTGCAGAAACACTGCTTAAGCAATCCCTTTCTAATTCCTTTTTTTTTTTTTTTCCTTTCTCTTTATGCAACCCTGAATACCCTAATGGTAAAACTTCGACAGACAAGATCACTCCCAGGTGAACTGCTTAGACATGAAGAGCACCATTTAAAATAAACTAAGCGCAAGGGACAGGGAGAGTCTTCCGATACTCATTTTCAACATGTTGCCATTGTTCCTAAAAAGCACGCACCACCATAGGGCAAGCTACAAACCAAATGAAGCTGTGCACAGAAATAACACCTCCAGGAGCTACAAACCAGACATGCAAACCTTCTTAAATCTAAGAGCCACCTAATCCAGAGAGATTTTTGCTGTATGTTCTGTTCAGAACAGGATTTCACCAGCTGTCTTATGGCTGATAATCTGGAAACCTTCAGGTGTGTAATCTTTGTCTTCTATCTCCACCTTACAGCATCTCAAAAACACTAAATAGTTGATCCTCACTCTTGACATCAGTTACATGAACTGGAAACCTATGGCACAGCCAAGAACTGCAAGCAACTACTTCACTTTTTACATACACTCAAGCAAACCATTACCACCAGAGAGACATGTTTACTCTTTGTCTCCCACAGTGCACTTGTCAATTACACTCCAGCACCAAGATTTGCTTCGGTTCTGGGTTGAACTTTTCTGGGTTTTGTTTATTTGTGAGGGTTTTTTTGTTGGGGGGGGTGGGGGGGATGGGCAGTTTAGTTGGTATTTTTTGCTTCTTATTGGTTTTGGGTTTGCTTTTTTTTTTGTTTTAACTGCCAATGCAGCTTGGTCTCCTGAAGTATATGAAGGACTCTGGTGCAGGACCTTTCAAGGCACCTATGAAACTGGAGAGGCTCAATCTATTACAGACTTCACATTTTATTCTATATCAATAACTGAACCACTTGTAGTAACATTTGTAACTTCTAACACCCGCTGTTAGATTGACACGGGCAGTTTGTAGGCTGTTCTACCTATCAGCAGCAGGGAGGTGTTAAAGCCTGGGTGCTAAGCTAACTACTATTAAAAGCTTAAAATTGGAAGTTACCTGAGCATAATGCAAAAGTTTCTCTGTTGCATCAGGATCTTTGTTCCAGATTAGATTCTCACACAACTGTAGCAATTCCTTGTGGATATCATCATATACTGGTAGATTCCCAGCATTCACAATTCCCATGTCCATACCACACTAAAAGAAATCATACAAAATCCCCAACCAGGGCTGTCAGACATAGAACTGCACAACTGCCAAGTGCAAACATACGGAAGCCAAAAGCACATCATAGCACATCATACCTTAATTGCGTGGTAAAGGAACACCCCATGCATTGCTTCTCGAATGGCATCCATTCCTCGAAAGGAGAAAGAAAGATTGGAAAGACCTCCACTTATCCTGGCTCCCGGTAGTGTTTCCTATAGAAATTGAACATAGATTTTTAGAAATGTGCTTTCCAAAAAGGAAACCTAAGCAAAGCATAAAGCAGGTGGCCCCTGAGCTGCGATGCATTGGCTATGCACCCTTTTTCTCTTCCCTGTTCCAGGTATGTCTAGTTACTCAAATTCATAAAAAGCAATTCAAATCTCTGCAGAAAAAGATACGAGTAAAAGGAAAGATCCAGCCTAGTTATGTGTAAGCAACTACCATGGTTTCTACAGTCATAGGTGGTATTCTAAACGTATCAGTCCTCCCACAGCAGCATTCCAGGTTTTCTCCATGCAGACCTATTCACGGCTCTTCCATCCCCCGTTCCTCTGGAAACAGGAGCAGCCAACCTGCCTGCTTGCATGTCTCAGGAGCAGGCTGTAGCTGAGCAGCTGACCTCAAGGGTACAGCCTCCCTTCCAGTGGTCACAACATAGCCTGTGGGGTGTTCAAGCCCCAGACTGCTACTGACAGAGCATCTCCAAACCAGTCAAGTTGCCTTGTGAAACACAACAGTGCAGCTTCCTTAGATGTATTCAGGTGATGCTCTTCACTGCTGTATTTCCTTCCACATATTTTGCCTAAAGAAAAAGTTATGTTACTGCATAAATCGCTTCCACAGTAATGGAAATTTTATTAAAAAATTTAAAAAGGCAGCTTTCATGGATCCTCAAAGAGGTCCTTTTAGTTACAACACGAATGTGATTCTTACCTCATTTAACTAATCTAATATATTTACAGAGGAGAGAATTGATTGAAATACATTTATAGTATACTAACTGAAGTTCTACTGGAAATACAGCAGTATCAGGGAATGGCTGCACTTCAGAAGAATAGTCCCCCGTGCTAATTTAAAATGCGCATCATTTTGCAGCAGTATTTTGTAGTTTTTTGGTGGTGTTTTGTGGTGGTTTAGGTTTTTAAGTAAGCTCAGCAAAATACTTCAAGTTAAAATAAGCTTACAACGCACTTTTATGGTTTTAGTAGCATTGATAAAGTTCACGGCATACAGGTTATGTTCCTCCATTCCAGTTCCTATGGTCAAAATATTAGGATCGAATATTATATCATTTGGATTGAAGTGCACTTTTTCCACAAGGAGGTGATAAGCTCTGGAACAGACTGCAATCTTGGTTTCCGTTTCTGTTGCCTAATGGAGAAAAAGAATTCTGACATGAAACTTACAGGTAACACAAAAAAATAAACTCCCCAGCAATCATTTATGGTTCCACTGACTCAAGACTGAGAATCTGAACATCACGAATATTACAAAAGAACTATATATATAAGAATTTTGTATTACAAATATCACCACACCTGTACCCGAAGTTTTGACTCAACTCATTAAAAACAATAGGTTTCCAACATTTTCTCATCCTACATAAAGTTTAGTATGTGGTTTTTGACATAACTAAATTAATTCAGAAAGATTCCACTCTCAAGAAAAACTCCGTTTCTGAACTAAAAAAGTCTTCTACGAAAGAAGAAGGAGTTCAGCATTGCTGAACAGCAAGAGCTACACATGTGCTAGCAGAGCTACACTTAGAGCAGTACATGGATTCCTCAAACATGTGAGCAGCATATGAAATGCTTCCCTATCAGGGTCAAAACTATTGCTAAGACTGTATAGACCTTTATGAATCACCTGTGCCCACGAAACAAAACTTTGTCTTGCACTCCAGAAGAAAAATACCTCTCCTTGAAAGCAACACTCACCTGCCCCATTTCATCAAAAGCCATGACAACCACAGCTGCTCCGTACAACTTAATTTTCCTTGCTTTCTCCAAAAAGTCTTCCTCACCTTCCTTCAAACTGATGCTGTTTACAATGCATTTCCCTTGGCAACATTTCAAACCTGCTTCAATCACTGAAAAATTTGAGGAGTCAATGCATAACGGCACCTGTAAATAACAGAGAAGTATGCCAGGGGAATACCTACAAGTTATGAATTAGTTCCATACGCTGTTTGCCCAGTTGGACATAAAATTGCACACAACATTAATCATCATTTATGAATAAAAAGTTTCCAGATGGTGTCTGCAGATTCACTTTCCTTTAAGTGCAAAACTCTGAGCAAATTTAACTCAAGAGCTTCTATGGCAACTCCATCACATATCATATACAGATCTCTACTTCTCCCTGCATTGTCTTGTGTTTCTGAATTAGATACTCATTTTTAGAGAACACCCACTGCAGAAGTGTCTTTTAAAACCACCCTATATCCATAGCAATTTTAAGTTTTGTTGAAAGCAATACCATTATTCATTGCCAATATGTAGATTATGGCTCCTAACTGCTTCAAAAGGAACCTGCATTCGGCTTTTCTAACCAATGAAAAGAACTGGCATATATTTAGCTGAAATCAGATACAGAATGTTAAAACCTCTGTTTCTCCTGAAGGCCTTCTCTATTGTCACAGAATCATAGAACTGTTTGGGTTGGAAGGGACCTTAAAGATCATCAAGTTCCAACCCCCCTGCCATGGACAGGGACACCTCCCACTAGACCAGGTTGCTCAAAGCCCCATCCAGCCTGGCCTTGAACACCTCCAGGGATGGGACATCTACAACTTCCCTGGGCAACCTATTCCAGTGCCTCACCACCCCAATAGTGAAGAATTTCTTCTTTATATCCAAGCTAAGTCTACCCTCTTTCAGTTTGAAGCCATTAACCTTTGTCCTACCACTACATGCCCTTCTAAAAACTCCCTCTCCAGCTTTCCTGTAGGCCCCCTTTTGGTACTGGAAGGCTGCTATAAGGTGTCCTTGGAGCCTTCTCTTCTCCAGGCTGAACAACCCCAACTCTCTCAGCTTGTCTTCATAGAAGAGGTGCTCCAGCCCTCTGATCAGTACCTTTACAGTACCTTTCCTCTTGGGAGGACACCTGCATCTGCTTATTAAGCAGCTAAACTGGTGCTTAATCAAAATTTTCTGAAAGGCAATTTCCAACTCAATAAAATGCCCTTTATTGTGCTTTGGAGGGACAACCTTTGCAATATCAGGTTCTGAAGAAATCAAGTTACAAAATCTGGTCATTGCAGCAGGGCCATCCAGCATCCCATCATCCATATTGATGTCAAGAATCTGGGCCCCCATCTCAACTTGCAATTTGGCTACACTCAGGGCTTCCTAAAGAAGAAAGTCAAAAAACAAAACAACAGTCAGTAGAAAAAAGCCTAGTCATTCTCAAGATAACATTTCATTTCTCCAAAATAAGCATGCAGCCAAAAATTTTAAAAATTGTAAGACATCCCATAAGAGAATAAGTAAATGGTATGTGATGCAAAACAACATACAGAAGTTGTTAGTGTGGCACAACTGATAACTAATTTGTTCACAAAAACATGACACCAGAGACCTAACGTGGTGGTAGTGTCATTGATTTTAGACAGTTGGTCATATGCTTAATTGAATGATTTTAAGATTTGCATGGCAACAAGGACTTCTGACTGCACAAGATTACTGGAAAACAGTCTCTGTGATGGTATGAAATAGGGTCCTGCATCACTAGCTCTGCTGTTTTATAACAGAGTACTTAATTTTTGGAAGTTGGCTGACATTTTTTCCAGCTGCAGAATAATCACCAAGTGCTAAGAAGGATACACTAAAGCCTTCCCTCCGCCCACATAATTATCTGAACACCCATGTCTGTTCGCTTTTTCTTTTTTGTCACTCTGCAGACTGAGGAGAGAAAAAAGAAAAAGGGTTTTAGTTGCTCACAGTCCCTAACAAGCTGTTTAAAGCTCCTTTTATTTAATAGGTCTAACCTGCTTCATGACTTCTAAGGGCTTAAGAGTCAGACTTCCTACAGAAACAAATATAAGGCTTTAGTTTTGATTGCATCAACTAGAACAGCAGACCATACTCTGGGGCAGAGTCTCAACTCTCAAGAAATGCCACTTTACTGTTTGTTTGAATGTTATAGTAACAATTTACAGCAGTAAAGAATGCGCCCTCCAGCCTTTTCATTTCTGCTCTGCAGCTGTTTCAAGCAAGCAATTATCTTCTAAGCATCTTTCTGCGTAGCAATTCTCACATAGCATGCTGGAGCCAGGGATCAAAGTATATACAGATTAGATGCAACCATAATGCTGACCAGTACTGCAGAAGGGAGGGAATGAGAGTAAGGGCTGCGCAGTGCCACAATCTATTCCAGGTCAGATGTACCCCACGTGTTGGAAGGGGGGATTACACCCAGTTTCCTTCCTCCTTCCTCTATACATCCACCCCTAGATACAGCACAGTCCAGGAGATTTTCTAAACCATCATCAGCTGTGTAACATAATTCAAAATGGAAAGTCACATCTTCTGTAACACTTGACAAAAAAAAAAAAAAAAAAAAAATCCTTGTAAAACCCTTCTCACAAATTTATTAGGAGCTGGTAAGCACTGAAACAAAGGACAGGGAGAAAGTAAATTCTACTTGTTTTCCTACTTTTGTAACTGGTGTAGAATAGTGCTTTGTGCCAGCAAACAACTAAGAAAACAATGCAATAGAGCAATGAAAAATCAGAGCATCAGCTATAAAGATTATTGATAAAATGTATACTTCATAGTTGCCTGCCATGATGAGTTTAGCGAACTTCCGTGATCCTGCAACATTGCAGCGTTCGCCAATATTAACGAAGTTGGTGTATGGCCCAATCCTGAATGGCTCCAGACCTTAAAAAGATATTTTTGAACACGTTTGTAAAATATGAAAATAAAAAACTGTGCAAGAAAGACAAAATCTCTTTTCTAAACTGTGAAATAGAGGTGTCTCTCTCTTTAAGAATAGTGAGTTCTCAGCACATCAGGATGTGCACAAATCTAATGAGTAACCAGCAAGGAAATGCAATGAAACAATTTCCAACACGTATGCCAAAGGTTTCTATCCTTTCTCAATGACAGTTAATAATCTACCTGACTCAAAAAATAACAGCCGATTTGTCCAATATAAAATGATGTGAAGCTACGATTCTTTGGGCATCTATGTGTATGCACATACACACCTTCTCTCAACCTCCAACTACGTTAACTCTACCACCACCAGAGAAGCAGGCCACTGAATTGACTGACAAACAAGGACAGCTCTTAACCACATACCCAAGTTCAGAGCAACAAGCCAAGTGAGACCCTTGGGTAGCAGGCAACTCGGGGGCAAACAAACCTTACATCAGAACAGAATAAGGTAATCCATGAAACCACAGGCCAACCACGATTTATTTAATTTATGCTAACCCCATTTGACTTTGAGATTAAAACACCAGACCAAAAAGAAGGTACTGTTTTACTTGGATACATGGTGCAAAGGCTTAAAGAAGGCCTGGCTGAGGAACATACAGATCTAGACTTTGCTAAGACTGAGGACATTCTAGACCTGGACGTATCACTGGAACAACGTCCCAGTGTGACTGGATGGACATCTGAGGCGACACAGGGCAGCTCTCTCACAGCAGGTGAACAAGGATCTCGTCCCAGCTCTGCCATCAACCATAGTCAAATTACCCGATTTCTTTATGCCTGATCCTACCCTGTTGCAAACTGAGGATAAAGATACCTGCTCACCACTAGAAAGTATCTGAGACTTGCAGAGTAAAATATGCTGACTTGGTTATACTACACAAATTTGTAATAAAATATTCCATTAATCCTTTGGCCAAAGCAGTAAGATTTAGATCTGGTTAAACATCCATAAGCTTGCTGGACTCAGATAGAAGCAGAAATTCATACTGTCATTCTGATCAGCAGACAACAGCAAATAAATTTCTAAAGGAAGGCTGCATGAGTTATAAAGCTCAAGCTGTTACATTCCATTTTACCTGACAGCAGCATGTATCCTTGGGAGAGAGAAGGTGGAACACGAGGCTTACAGGATTTCACAGCTTCGGCAATTTTCCTGAGTTACAGAAAGAGGAAAGCAAAGTTTTCCATTAAAATTAAACCACTCCAGATAAGACTCAAACAGAACATACTAGACATATACCTCTATCTCCAGTTTAGCCCTGTAGCAGACAAAACTAATTAGCTAGCTTCACTTTGTGTGGCCAAAGGCAAAAACATACTCCCAGAAGATCCTATCATAGCTATTTGCAGGGAATGTAGAAAGCTGAAGATTTATCAAATACAGAACGTAAGATACCATGTCAATGGGATACCTGATGGATATCAGAACCAGTCCTCAGCCACACTGACTTTTACCATACTCGTGTTTTGCTGTGCTGAGCAACTGCTAATGATTGCAGAAAAAAAAAAAAAAAAACAAGGGACAAACATTGTTCTACGCTGAGCCACATTTCTCAGATGCCGGAATGATTCATGCTGCTCACATTCACTTTTTCTTCGCTCCAGTCAGGAGTGACACATGGTGTCACGTTCACAGACCACCTCTTTCCAGTTTGTATCAGGGTAAAAATGAATCACAAGGGCCCCTTCTCTTTTTAAGCCAAGGTGAAAAAGGGAGGTTTTCCCACTGACCTACTTCCAGTGAGAAAGGTATGAAATGCATCTTCTGACTGGCCAGGACTAACACTAGCTGTACAGCATTCCCAGATCTCCTGTTCCAAACCCACACACCTTCCTTCCTTCTACCATCAAAGGAAATTTTAAGTTTCACCTTGTGGCTACAAGTGCCAGAAAGAGAAAGAACATACTGTGTAAGGGAGCAGAGATGGGAAGTCTATTCTATCCAATGGTAAAGAGGGAGGAGTAATTTCAAAACAATTTTAGATGGCAAAACAGCAGAAGTATAATCTTTGTTTGAACCATACCTCTACTCATTCTTCACGACACACATGGCTGTGAAAGCCAGGTTTTTTCTACTCCATATATTGCTGCTATTGACATTCAAGTGATCCATCTTTTCAGGAAACTCTAAGACAAGCCATAGAATATTGCTCCACAGAAGCAGCACTTAATTTACATCCCAGTGCACTGAAAGTTGTAGCTCATGAGGTACCTGATATGTGCTGGTGTAGTACCACAGCAACCTCCAACTATGTTGACCAAACCATCCAAAGCAAAATTCTGTAGAAGGGAGGGACAGGTTCAAGTTAATAAAGGTATCTTTTATATTATTTTTTTTTGATTTTTTTTTTTCTCCATATGTTAAGCAATTCAGGGGATCATAAGAAAAAAATAAATTCCAAACCAATCTGTACTATTTCTTCTTAGGATTTGTTTTGAGATGTGGATTCCCAAGGCTAACCAGCAATTTCAACACCTAATTTTAGGAAACTACATTTGAAACTGGCCTATTTTATACTGAAGCCCCAGACGAAAACTTGGATGAGTATCAAAGACTAGTCATACTATATTATAAAAGAGAATTAACATGCAGCAGATACTGCGTTCTCACTGACACACTGCAGCTCCAGCCACACAGTTCTGTCTTGCACAGATCAAGTGGCATGTGGAAGGACACCCTGCCCTGGAACACCAACATCAGCAGTTCCTGATACACATAACTCTCAAATTCTGCCAAGTTCATAAAAACCACTCAGCTATTGAACAATTCCCAAATGCAAAAGTGAGAACATAGGAGTGCAAATGAGTAACATCCACAGATCAAGCTGCAGGAAAGCTACTTAGTGTAGGACATGAAAGTAATTCAGGTTTCAGAGTTTCCTAAGTAGTTTCTCCTAACCTGTTATCTCAAATCACTCTCATTCAGCAAATTGTCTATAAATAATCCAAATGACATATAGAGCCATCTGAGAAAAAAAAAACAAAACAAAACACCCCACAATACTGTAACAAATACGCATAAAATACAAGCAAAGAATTATTGTCTGCTAGTGTCAGATGTGACACACTCACGAGAAATATTTCATACCTTTATATGCTTGGCAGTCACTTCTGGAGTTTCATCATAACCACCAAAAGTATTGGGAAGACCTTGAAACATAATTTTTCTAGTATTACAATTGGTTTAAAGCCCGCAAGAACAGAATTAAATTCCATAAAAGACATATTTAAAGTAGCTACATTTGTATGAGGACTAAAATGCCTCATCACCTTTGCAATCATTAGTCAATAATTATTAATTATGCAAGAGAGCATTCTGGGTTCACCGTCACAGAACTAACAACAGTTACTTTCAGCAGTTTAAAATATTCTTAATCTCTTTTTAATAGTAAAATAATCATCTTTTCAAGCTAATTCAACTCTATTATTGCCAATGAGATGGAACGGTTTAGTTACTTTTCATCTGCCTGTAAGCATAGGAACATGTGCACCACACACCTGCGTTGGGGTAACAGATGATGTAGGCTGCTGTACATTTTCCAACTGTTTCAATGAATGGTCGCATTTCAACTGCCCCTAAAGCACAATTTAAGCCGATGCTAGAAAATAAATTTTTAAAAATTATTTTGAGGTAAAAACACCTCTGACACACAAAACAGATGAATGTTAGTGCTGGCAACCGCTAACTCTCACAATCATCTAGAACAAAACCAACCTGATCTCCAATTTCTTTAATCATCATCACCAATACAGCAAGACCGTGCAAAAGGAGAACCCCCAGGTGGAAGAAAAGCACAAGGGGGAAGGGGGCTGGACTGAATTGAACTGGGAACAGTAAATCAAGATTTCATTTCAAAGTCCAGGAGTAATGAGGCAGCATTTTGACAGCGACACGACGGCTCTGTATTTTCTAGGTGAGAGAGAGAACAAATGGAATGAGAACGACAGACTGGAAAGGAGTCTTGTGCTACAGGAAGAAGTATGAAAAGGTTGAAAAAGTAAGACCTGCTTCAAGCTTCTCACTCATCATTTTCTTTTAAAATTATACATAAATTATGTCAACCTTGGAAGAAACCAAGTGCCTCCCCCAAGATATCTCATGGCAGCACTGAGCCTGGGCAACTGAATCTGCTCATCTTAGTAACTAAGTCAGCACTACAGCAGAAGTATTTTTACATGAATAAGCTTCTCAAACAACTTCACCAGTATATGTCGTACAATCATGTTTTCTTTCATTCAATGACAGATACATAAACATGACTTGCACTCCAAATGTCTACATTGATATTAAAAATGGAAATTTCTCTTTCAGAAAGTATGCAAGAGATCTTTTACATATATGTTTCCTGATCTCTCTTCACCACTCTAGAAACCATCTTATGAGCACTGCAAAACTCAAAATGAGCTCACAATGCTGCTGGAAGAGGAAGATGTAAAAAAGCTTTCCCCTTTCCTGAAGTAACGGTCTCAGAGAGGATGCAAGCTAACCCCTGAAACAGGAATGGGTAACAGTCACATCTCCCAACTAAGTGAGCTACCTCTGAGGCAGCCTCTGTGGCTAAGTTAATAAAGTGCATGTACACCCACTAGTTTCCCACAGGCCAAAAGCAATAAAGCCCTGCACAGGACTGGAAGCACAAAATGGATTTTGACTTTTCTCCTGTTTCCAAGGAGCAGGCAGGGGCTTGGTAACTGCACAAGTAGTAGCAGTAAATGCTTGCAGCCAAACTCACTTGTTGGAAAGAATAAGAAATCCTTGAGATCTGAGAGGCTCACGGCAACATCCAAATCTGGGGCCTTGAGTATCACACAGCCACATACCAAGACCAAACAAAACACAAACCCCTTCTTCCAATAGCTTAGGGGTGTGGGTATTTATTTTTTTTCAGCAGGGGGGAGAGGGGCATATATGCTAGTTTTTTCAAACAGCCAGCTCCACCTTCAAAGTGCTTTTTCTAATGCATCTCACGTGGACCATTCTATTTAAATAGAAAAACTTTAAAAGAACCCTTTTATTCTCATTTCTGTATCCAGTGTTTACATACATTGAAATCCTTCATATAGATCCCCTGGATACAAACAGCATGCACAGGGAATACACAATTAATTACAGCAATAAAGTTCTGGAATTTATTTCAACGTAGGGGCTCATCCCTCAGGATTCTCAAAGCAAAGCAAGGTAAGAATGGTTAACAAGACTGCCCTTATCAAATGCAGATGAATGCAATGTATTTCCTACTGTTAAGTCACTCAGTTTACAAGCTTCCAGCTCACACTCCCCACGCCCTCTTTTTAAGCTCTCTCCTATATTAGGCAGCTTCATTTCTCCCTTCCACATTTAATATCCATCTGTCTCTGGTTCTGAGTACAAACTCACCTGTCACTCTCTTTACCTCACCCTACTAGAGAGATACTGTAAAAGCAGCCAGGATACTCACCAAAAAAAGCACTTCCTAATGTTCTCACCTGACTTACTGGGTACTGGCCCTCCAGACTGCCTGAATGATTACCCACTACAGAGGCTGCTGACCAATATATCTATGAGCACACCATCCAAGCATTACCTGTTTCAAAACTGCCAATTCAAACTAAGCAGAGACACACACATTCATTCAGAAACAAAAAGTAACTTCTGTGACCAGTATCATCTCCCCACAGCACTCAACAGCATCATGAAGGAAAACATTTGAGAAAAGCAAACCGTTAACCGTGCCTTAAAAGCCAGCAGCTTCAAACCAGATTGCTGGTACGCTATCACGGATACCTTAGTGTAATAACCATTACACCCTCATCTTAAAGATCACCTCCTTCCCTTGCTCATTTCTTCACAGCAGTCACGCATCAGCTCCTGTAAAAGGTAAGGCTGCAGAGTGCCCTTGGGACCAAAACAAACACCACATTAGGGCCCTAAACTATGCATATGTCTTCTTAATGCTACCACAGTAGAAACAATCACAGGATCCAAAATAAAACAAAAGCAACTCCTGCCACATCTGAGCACCTTTCATAGCAAGCACCTTGCCACACATCTTTCAGCACTTTCCAAGCACAGCTCATGAGTTTCTCAGCTACTACCTACATCAAATGGACACAAAGCGCACACTTTTTAGGGGGGGGCTCCAAACCAAACTGACTTAAGGACAACCCATCACCCTAAACAGGGCATACAAAACTCAAATGGAAACAGATGAACACGTAGAACATGGTCCCTAGGATACTACTATTAATCAGCTTTTTCACCACCCTAAAGCCAGCCTGTATCAATTTGGCAACAGAAACAACATTAAATGCAATCTGCTCCCACAACTAAAACCCTTCTGCCACAGTGCTGTACAGTAGCCTTTGCAAAAATGGGAAACAGGCCCTAAGCATTCAGACCCATACGATAGCTTTTATGAAATATGGTTTAATAAATTCTTGATTTCTGCTCCAGTGCCCTTCTCTCCTCTTCAGAGGCAAGAGAGTTACGAGCAAGATTATCTGAGACAGACTCTTGCCAAATATGGATCACTAGGCTGTGATGCTGAGAGAAGGAGTCAACTACCACCCTGTTCCAAGAGGCTCCATATGTTACTTCTGGAGCACCGTCTGGTCTGGGAAAGTGGAGCCTCAAGGGCAGTCGGGAAAGCTGTGAATGCAGTCTTCTGCTTTTGTATCACCGAGATGACAGATTGTGCGTTTTAGCTGGAATTTTGTTGTAAAAACAAACAATGGCTCATCACAATGTGCACGGCATGCACTGCTAAGAGTGAATTAAATGTTTTAAGTTAGAATATTCAAGGGAAAAAATATCTATTTCTAGTGTAGGTTTTTGTGTGAAGAACCAACCTGAGAAGAAATGGTAAAGAGAGAAGAGGAGGCAAGGAGGAGGTAGAATAGGGCATAGAAACACAGAAGACTAGAGAAACAGGGAACAGTATTCAAAAATTAACATGTGTCCCGGTTTGAGGTAAAACGGAACCAATTTTGTTCAGTAACTTCGCTTCTTAGCTGGGTCTCTCTAGCTACTGAAATTAACAGCATATTGTACAGACAATGTTCACTCTGTCAGAGTGGTAAGACCTATGTTTATAGCTGATGCCCGGGCACGGTATGCAGAGAAGCTCCTGCTTATACTTATTGCTATCACACCCAAGGGCAACCAACTTTGTTACTTGCCCCGTTGGAGGGTCGGAAGCGGAAAAGCATAGTGGGGTCCCACCTGCAGGGAGGAGCGGACGGGACAGGTGACCCAACACTGACCAACAGGGGATTCCATCCCATCTGCCTCATGCCCAGTATAAAAGCTGAGGGATCAAAGGGTCAGCTCGGTCTTCCTTCAATGGCCAATGTCTGAGGAGGACTCTGTTCAGCTGCCTGCGATCCCGATCCTGAATGCAGATCCGGAATCCAGTTCCCATCTGTCACTGAGTCCAGCCTGGGACTGCCCCAGTGCCAGCCAGTGTCGTGACTGTCATCTCGGGAGCTTGATACGGTTTTGTATATATTTCATTATTTCTTTTTTATTTTATTATTAATATTTCATTAAAGTAGTTTAGTTCCTTCTAAACTCATAACTCTCTTTTTCCTTCCCTGCCCCTCTCTCTGAAGAGGGGTAGAGGAGAGCATCTGTCGGTCCCATCTGGGGTCCTCCAGGTCCCCAGTAGCCGATTTGGCCTAAACCACGACAACATGCAAAACCTTGCACAATGACCAAAATCTGCTATAGTATGCATTTTCACAGATCTTAGTCTCATATTTATTTGAACTTTTTTGCCTGAACAGAAAAGAATGCAAGTAAATGGAGGCATCAGGAACTCTCAAAACAACAATGCACATCCTTGAGAAAAGCACTCAGGGAATACATATATTTGCAAGAGTTCAGTAAAAAGAACACTGGAATGAAATCTTATGATTCGCTCTTTCAAGCCACCCCAAAACATTCTGAGCTGGCACTGCTTCCCTCTAAGAAAGAGATGTAAGCACTGCCCATACCCGGAATTCGCTCCTTGAACAATCAGAGAGCGTAGGAGATGGCAAACTACAGTTTCAGAATTTTTTTTTTTTTTTAGTGCTTTGACCTAATTGTGATTTCAACGGCTGTTGCAAACTCAAAACCCCAGATTATTTAGAGCAATGTTTTAAAAATTCAGCTTTCTTTGGGAACATAATTTCTGCTGAGGGAACAATAGCAGAATACGTTAGCGATACATGTGATTAAATATTATCACAGTTAGCATAGCGTCCATTTAGCAGCAACCAAGAGGTTAAAATAGAAAAGAATCACAATTTACAGATAACTTACTAAGAGAAAGATACTTACCAAAGTGGCTTACTGTGGGAAACACTAATGACAAATGCCTCTCCTGTCTGGCCTGAAAGGGTACGTCCACTCTTATCCACAATAGTTCCAGAAACCTACATATCAGTTGAACATAGAGAATGGAGAAGAATTAAATTGATAATAAAAACAAGAACTTAAATGGCTGAACTGCTAGAATTCAAAGCACAGGGACCTGTGCCCTACTCAAAGTGATGAGGCAAAACTCAAACCCCTTCCTCCCTATGAATGTTTAAATATTTAGCTAGGTGAAAGGTAAACCTTTGACCAATCTTCTTTCTCCCTCTCTCTTACCTTTGGTGGAAGAAAAAGGAAAAAAAGGAGAAAAGAAAAAAAAAAAAAGAAGAGAGAAAACTACCATGAACCATTCAGCAGCAAGGTAGCATTAGTACCACTAATCATCATTCTGATGATGGCCTCTGAACCAATCTGCAGTGGTTACCTGTTTAGGCTGCTATCAAGCAGTCACAGTTCCTGTTCTGTCCTCCTCATCCTCCTTACTTCCTTCTTTATGTTATCTCAGGTCTCCGGACTGCTATTAGGTTGTTTGGTAGTGGTTGGTGGGGGGGGCAGGAAAGAGAGGGCTGGCCTTAGAAACAAGTTACTCATTTTGCCATCAGGGAACGTCAGACGTTGCAACTTCATAGTGAAGATAGAAGTCTTAACCTGCATAATTGTACCTCTTAAGTACTATACAGAGAGAGGTGTGCAAATAAGACATAATGTCTTGACCCCAACTAACAACTACAAAGTTGAGAATTCAGGAGACATTTGAAAGAGCCAGGAAAGGCTTCCCAAGTCTACAAATCTTTCTGCAGAAGATGGAATGAGTTTAGAGGACTCCATGCAAAGGTAAATCCATTATTTACTCCAAAACATGTTCTAATATTGATGCTACTTTCCTTCAAACTACTTAGTCAAGGGAGGTGACCAGTGGAAAGTGAGTAGAGAATGAGACAACCAAGGTCACTGACCACTCTGCTCAGGACAATGAAGACAAGAAGTCAACTCTACATAATCAGAAAACTCTAAGTGCTAACTGACTTGAATGATAAAAAAGTGGAAACTCATTGCTGATAAAGTACAAAGTTGTGAACACAGAAAGAATTCTACATAATGACACCTCCAAACTAGTCTTCACTGCTCAAGAAACTAATCTGAGTAACAAAATAAAGTTTTACGAATGCAATTTCAAAGCTCACTAGCAATAAAGTAAAACTTCGGGAACTACAAAGAATAAATGGATGAGGCAGAAAACATCACTAGGCTACCATACAAATCCCTGATGCCTGCACTTTGACTGCTGTATGCTATTCTAATTCCCCTCTGACTTGAGGAAGTGGAAAACAAAAAGGTGACAAGAATAATGAATGAATGGTACGGAGCAGCTAAATAGAAAATGACTCTTCAGGATGAAAAAAGTTGACTAAAGGAGGCTCTCACAGAGGACTATAAATGCCATGGCTATGCAGCAAAGGGAACATGGAACAACCGCTCACTTTCTAGACTCAAATGGCAAGACACAAAAGAAGTTATCAGGGAGAATGTCCAAAAGTAAGCAAACTTTCAAACCAGTGCATTCATAACCTGCAAAAGTTACTGACAAATTATTTTGTGGATGCTGGGGTCCCATGCAGGTTTGAACACAGGTTCAGGGAAGGAGTAAACACATTCCACAAAAAGGTACGAACAGATACAAACTTCAGATCAGAAAGCCTGGGCTGCAAACTGCAGAAAACTGGAATACATCAGAACTTTCAAAACAAGTTTATTCTTTTTCTATATTTGTTCCTACACATTCATGACTGCCCACTGTCAGAAAAAGACATGTCAGAGAAAAAATACGGAGTTAGACCTTTTCTGACCAGTGGCCACTCATATTATTCCACTTGAAAATATGGCAGAATTTGCTTAATTTCATCCTTGAAGCACTCGTTCTTATTACCCTCAAGACAGCAAGCCCCCCCAAAAAATTATGGTCAGACCTTTTCCTGTGGAAATACACAGAATGAATACACACTGCAATGAAGTCATTCCTTAGTCTGCAGGTTGATAAGCTGCACAGAGATACCCAAGGCTGATTTCAAAAACCTCTTCACATAAGAGTTTTTCCTTTTGCAATCATGTGAAAAAAGAACCTTTCCAAGACGCTTATTTCCTTCATTTCAAAATGTTTTAATCAACTGCTATCTCAGCTAGTTCATAAATCAAGCTTAAGTATATGTAAAATACTAAATAAAAGTACGTGTAAAATATGAAATAATATATACTTACAAATATGGGTCGGGAAGCATACTCTTCTTCAAACAACGTCTGGAGTGCAAACAGAGCTGCCTGCAGAAGAATAAGTTGCAAAATATTAATGGACATTTTTAGAGCTCTTCAATTTGTTGGGGTTTTTGTTTGTGTGGGTTTGCTTTTTTTTTTTTTTAGTATTTTTTATGGCTGTTTATGCAGCTTGCTACCTCAAGAACTTACTACACTCAAGAGGTTTTACCCTTATCCCTAGCATCTTCCAGATGTTCCAAAACACATTTTGGTAACAAGCTGAAAGTACTACAGGGTAACCAAGTAACACCAAGACTATTCTGAAACTTGGGGATGTATTTCTCCCTCACATCAGCAGCACAAGTCCCCATCCCAAACATGGCTGTATGTAGTATTCTCAGTACACATTCACTGCCCTTGAATCTGTTTAGACATGCAGTTTGCAAAGTATTGTAACCACCACAAATTTTAACAGTGACTTGTTTCCTGCTTCCTTAGGGTATGAAAGCTGCATTTGAACATGAGCTCAGCACAATGTTAAGCCTACAGGATCCTAGCCAAACCTCCGCGATGACTGGTCAAATCTGTAAAGGATAAGTCATAGCTCTGCACCCATTAATCAGACTGTGGCAAAAGCCTAAAGAAATGCCGTGTGCATATCCAGCCAGACTTTTGCACGTAAAATTGCAAGACAGTTTTAAGCACCCTAACAACTCCAGCACCTGCATTGAGCAATTATTAGGTAAAGAAGGAGGTGTCAAAATCACAGGAATTGTGGCATATTTTAACATTTTATTCCTCCTGTTTTACCCTTCTAATCCTCTACTCCCCATTTTTCTTTTTTAAAGCTGATGGCAGTGTCAGAGCTCCCCAAAACCCCATATTTTAACAGGACTGTCTCACAAGCCTTCCCACACCTGCAATCAGATACACTGGACATTTCGTCTCCAGTGTGCACCATAAGCATCCTTTGGGCAGACATGCTTACGCTGAAAAATACAAACATCAGATGCATTTGGAGATGTTTTGCAATACAGCAGAGCTTCTGGGAATAAAAGGACTGCTGGCACAGACAGCCGGAAAGATGCTAACGGCACATATTAAAAGGCAAAGGAAAAAACCTGGAAAAGGCTGTTTTATCATAAAACATCATCTCCTTACATTCTACCTGTTTGCTAGCAACCAAAGAGACTATTCATGTATTTAATAAGCAGTAGCTGATAGCTCTTACAAGTACCACGTTGAATTTCCTTAGGTAGTACACCAAATACTTATATTACTGAGTATTTTTTTTCCGGGAGCCCCACCTTGGCATTGGCTGTATCAAATATGGTTTCCACTAACAAGATATCAACTCCTCCGTCCAAAAGTCCTTTGGCTTGTTCCTTGTAGGCTTCAACCAGTTCATCAAAAGCTGTAAAACAGGAATGATGTTTATGTCATCTGGAGGTATCTCCTTCAAGACCACCACCTAAGTTAAATAACTTGATGGTTACAAATACTTACTTATGTTCCTGTAATCTGGTCTCTCCACAGACGGCGACACAGACAGTGTCCTGTTTGTTGGACCCATGGCTCCAGCAACATATCTCCTAATTCCTAAAGCAAGACATGGGGAGGGAGGGAACAAAAAAACCCAAAAAACCCCACAAAACAATCAGTTTACCTTTGTTTTTACAGTGACAGCCACGTCAATGTAAAAAACCTCCAAGGGCACCGAGACATGCATATCATTCAGGGATAAAGAACTATAAAACAGGAAACTCCAGCCTCATACCAAGAGTTTGATCAGCACAAGACTACCCAGCACAGCTGACTTGTCCTATTCAACAAGATGTTCAGAATATACACATGAGACAAAAGAACATGCAAGAAAAAGGCAACCGGCTCAATTAATTTCTCTTGTAAGTATCATTTGTCTCTGACACAGGAAGCTTCATTCAATTACTTTAAATGCACAGCATAGAACTGTCCTGGCATTTTTCACTAGATAACCTGATATGAATATTCTGGCAGGTGTTCATAAAAAAGCCTTTCTTTTAAAGCATATTTCAAATATTGTATTTTTATTGCATACTATGAATCCCATCAGTAAAGTGTTATCTGGACAGCACCAGCAGCACTGCTAGCCTGAAATACAGTTTGATGGCAGAATACAAGAGGAAATTACATGTCTTTTAAAGACAGCATTGTCTACAGCAGTGTAAATGAGCTATACCCCTCTTACATAAGGTCCAGAAGGTAAAAGACTGGACATTCACAGATGACGGTCACATACTAAGCACATGCCAGTAGTTGTTGAGTAAAGTCAAGCCACAAGACTTAAAACTAGGAATAACTGGTAATCCACATTTACCTACAACCAGCTATCTCAATTCCGTTGTACAAAGACCTGTGCCATATAAACCTAAGTAACTTATAATAGTCCCTGCTGAATTTATTTCTCTAAAACACACCTGGAAGACATGGATCACCTTGTCCTGGTTTTGGCTGGGATGGAGTTAATTTTCTTCACAGTAGCTGTTATGGAGCTGTGTTTTGGATTTGTGCTGAAAACGGTGTTGATAACACAGAGATGTTTTAGTTACTGCTGAGCAGTGCTCACACAGAGTGAAGGCCTTTTCTGCTTCTCACACCGCCCCACCAGCGAGTAGTTGGGGCTGCATGAAAAGCTGGGAGAGGAAACAGCCGGGACAGCTGACCCCAACTGACCAAAGGGATATTCCATACCATGTGACATCATGCGCAGCAATAAAAAGCTGGGGGAAGGAGGAGGAAGCAGGGGACATGTTTGGAGTTACGGCGTTTGTCTTCCTAAGTAAGCATTACGCATGATGGAGCCCTGCTTTCCTGGAGATGGCAGAACACTCGCCTGCTGATGGGAAGTAGGGAATGAATTCCTTGTTTTGCTTTGCTTGTGAGTGCGGCTTTTACTTTACTTATTAAACTGCTTTTGTCTCAACCCACGAGTTATGAATGTTAGCAACATTTCAAAGATTGCAGCAAGACAGTCAAAACCTTAAATGAGTAAGAAATTAATATAAATATTGCTTACCTGTCTGAGCAGTTACATCATCTGCTGCTTTTCTGGCCACCTGTGCAGAGACTCTGTTTAACCGGTATGCCTAGAACAGTTACAAAAATTTACCAAGTAGCCTTTAGTTCAGTACGGCATAACTCATCCTCAGAGAAACACACCACTTCCATTCAGTAGCTTGCAGTACACTCTGAAGGCTCCGTAATCCATACAAATACATATAAGCACTATTACAAAACTTGAAAAGGAACAGCTCTATGCATCTCAGCAACAAGAGTTACATGGCAGGTCTCATCCCACGTACGCCCCAGTCTACAGCTGCTAATCATAAAATTTCATTCTGTAAGGTACTAATTAAATCCTACTGAAGTCAACAGAAGCTGAAGAATAGGACTTTGAGGACAAAATTAACCTACTTTTAAATTCACTTTTTTATTCAAGTAGCATATTTCCAAGTATTTTCTTTCACATATTTCTCAAATTCCCAACGCAGAATAGGTATGACAAATGCAAGCTTGAAATGACTTCTACATACACCAGCACAAACAACACAAAAATAACATCCAGGAAAAAAGCAGTTCCCATTGTGGCATTTGGTAAGTTGGAAGGACTGAAGCAAAACATCCCTGTACACAGAACTGAGACATTCTGGGAATGCTCAAGCAAAATCTAGGACAAACTATTATTGCCTGTGCCTTCATGAACAACTATGACTGTCACACACAGCGAGCACAATTGTCTACAGCAGTGGAAATGAGCTACAACCCCATCACGTGGCTACTGAGACAGCACGCAGTCAATAAACAGAATACCAATGGACTCTGGGACTAAGCTAATCTTAGCTGCTAAGACAAAAATCTTGATTAACATTTTAATGCATATATAGTTTAGCATTCTTACCAAATGCTCAAGGCCATAGTCAGCTTGTGCAACTCGGGTGCTGCTGAAAGTGTTAGTTTCAATGATATCAGCGCCTGACAGCAAGTATTCCTGCAAGACACGGAAGAAAGAAAATCTCCAAGACCTCCAGAACTGATATCTGGAATGAAAGCAACCCAACTATTTCGTCTCATTCAGTTGACAAAAAGTCACAAATCATCTAATTCAAAGCAGACCATACTCTGAAGGCCTTACTCAAATGTACAGGGCCAAAGTAGTAGAAGTATTCCATGTAACCAGTTTTCAGAGTTTAATGTGTCAGCCACACTTTCTATTAATAGGTGACATTTATAGTCACCTCTGCCACTAGTCCGGCAGTTGGAGCACATCCTAGTTTTTTTGCACAAGGACATGGTGGGACATAGTCCACTTGCCATCAGCAAGTGAGGGCTGCTGTGGGCAGACTCAGAAAAGGCACCAGTTAAGAAACAACAGAGGACTAGAAAATTTAAAACATTCTGAAGGGAGCTGTACAGCACAAGAGCATACTGGGACAGAATACAAACTTAGGAGAACTATGTTTTGTGTAGACCACATTTAGTATTTAACTAATGGCCCAGATTCACAAAACAATTAAGCCTTCTGCTCCAGTTTGGTTGTTTACTTCCCACTGAAGTAACCTGAAATCAATGCAAACTGAAATATTTTTTCAGATTCTAGTCTGTGCTTTGATAACCTCTATCAGTTGCCCTCCTCCCTCCCTAACTCCTCTTTTTGATCAGGTTAACACTTAGATGACCCCCGCACATTCAAGGAAATCAAGACATTCTAAGTGCTAGCAAGTGAAAAATACTGGTGTATATAACTAAAATATAAACCACTCAGATTTTCCTATAAGAAGCAGAAGAGTTCAGCGGGTTCAACAGGGCAAACAAAGTCTTGTTCTAAATGACAGCATAAAAGAATTAAATTTGCTTTAAAACATGTTTTGCTGCAAACTAATACGCTTTCTCTCAAGTCCTCCTGGATACCTATGGAAATACCTGCAAATAGTTATACGAAATATACAAGTTCTTACATGTTGTCGTGGTTTGGCCTCAGCCAGCAACAAAGAACCACGCAGCCGCTCGCACAACTCCCACAGTCGTGGAAAAAGAAAATGACAGGGCAAAACTCGTGGGTTAAAAGAGTGCAATTTAACAGAACAGCAAAAGGAAACACGAAAACGCGATTACAGTACCGCCGCGAAGCGCACCCCCGCAGCCCACCCCCAAGTGGCGACTCCTCTCCTCGCCCGGCTAGCTCCTCTTATAGCCCGGGCATGGGTCACGTGGGATGGAATACCTGCCCCCTGCCGGCTCCGGGGGAGATTAACCCCATCCCTGCCGGAACCAGGACACATGTACACTAATAAGCAAGGAATAAAATTTCTGAATATCCTATAGACCAAAGAAAGATGTTAAATGTGTACAGCTTCATCCTAGCTTTTGTTTTTGTTTTACTAGCTGTCATTTTAGCAAAAGCCCTTCACCTTTACTGTCTACCACCATAGAAGGAAATAATATACTCAAAGCAGGAAGATCATTTTGCCTTTGGAAATACATCACCTCTCTTACCACTGAATCTTACTTTGCCAGACAAGGTACAGCTAGCATTTACTTTTCAAGTTACTGCTATCTGTGAGATCTGGCTCACTGGGCCATCAAAAAAATCCCACCAACCATACATACAGTGAGATTATAGTTACTTTGTAGAAATATTTTCATCTAGTATTTCAAGTTCTGTCCAATTCTCAGATGAAATAACCACTGGTAGCTATATAAAATATGAAGTCACCAGCCATGGCTCAGAAAGCACCTGATTCAAAAGCTGCTGCAGGCACGGGGACCGCCACAGACTTGTTCTTTTCTTACACTTCCGAAAGCACCTACAACTGGCCATTGGAGGGATGATAGCAGGCTGCCGTTGGTTTGACTCAATACATTCATTCTCAAGTCACATCACTATTGGTCTGTTAAACCTGCAAAATTGAACTGTTAAACCCGTTTACCCGATTAAAACCCCAAGCTATTATAAATTCCAAGGTTCACAACCACTAGAGCTCAGTTGACAGTCTAGGGACTGAACTCAATCTACAAATAATTTGACCCGAAATTTTTATAGGTCAAAGACTCTGATTCTTTTCAAATCATCGTTCTTAAAAATCTAAAGAATGACAGATAGAACGTAAATATAAAAATACAGATTACATACCAAGTTTAACAAGCATAAGCCAATTATGATTTTAATCAATGAAATACAGATCTTTTCAGTAAGTGATTGGGAAAACCCAGAATAGATGTGAGGCTTCAACCGAATACCAACTAACTGTAATGCTATTCAAACATTCTAATTATTACAGTAAGACCTACAAATGCCTGTAACTCCAGAAATACAGGACTTAAGAAGTTGGTTTTTAAAGCCTAACCAAATATAGGAAAGTAATAAAATCTGTTTGAAAATTCCTAATGTTTAACCCTAGACTGTTTTATTCTCTGGGCCACACATTAATATTCTACAGAAAAAATGAGAATATGGAAGCACATAGACTCATTAGGAAACCCATATAATCATTAACTACAGAGACGCCTGCTTCAGGCTGCCACATTTAACAGCTCTTTAATACACAATTAAAGAAACATGCATCTAGAATTCAGATGTGTCCTACTTAGATGCATTTCAAGTGCTGGTTGAGGAGGAGAAAAGGAAAGAAAAATGAAATAAGTCAGAATCTACAATTAATAGAAATGCACCAGGGACATATGTCAAAAAGGGGGTTAAAATAACACTGCCTGGGTGACATCAGGAACCAAGACACAAATGCTGTGCTCACACAACCAGAAAAGTCAAATCTGCTCATTCTTTTTCGCATGGTTACCTAGTACTCTCTTCCCTATCCCCAAAAGACACAGGAGAGCCAGTAGCCTGTGGCATGGAAAAGGGGAGCACAGCAGCCAAATTCTCCTTGTTTCTCTTGTCAAGAGACAGAAATCAGAACCACCTACCTTGTGTATGTCACAGATTATATCAGGTTGAGTTATACTGAGAAGGTCATTATTGCCTTTCAAAGGCCTGGAATGATCTTTAAATTCATGCCCTCGGAAATCCTCTTCTGACAGGGCATGTTGCTGGATCATGGTACCCATGCCTCCGTCCAAAACCATTATCCGCTCCTGCAGAACTGATTCAATTTCATCTCCCACGCTTTTCTGGGGATCTGCTGTAAGAAAACAAATCCAGTATTTAAGCATCTTTGAAATTCCCATCTATACACTTGTGCCACCTGAGCTCTTCCCATTCAAGAAACAGAATAAAATAACTAATCCTCTACTGAAATCTAACAGTAATTGGTTCACTTCACCTACAGCTCCAATCACATGATGTCAGGTAACAGCAGCATCTATCTAAATAGAATTAGACTCAATTGGTCCTTCATCTAAGTACAGTCACCTGCACACAGTCAGCTCCAGGAACAAGAGTATCAAAAGTTCACAAGGGCATACACCAAGCTCTCTACATAAACGTGTCTCCAACGCTGAAAAATGCACTAATTTCCACTACAACAACATTTGAACAGCAACACAGAGCTGCCTCTTGGTACTAAACACTGTACTGTAAATGCTACACAAGTGCAATCCAGAAACTAGTAAACGTCACTTAAAAAAAAAATTCTACTTTAATTGCCTATGCCACAACATTAAAAAGATATAAACTGGCCAAACAAAAACAATTCTTCAACTGAGTCTTTCTAGGATTAGAATAGTAAATAACAATTTTGCACTTCCGTTAGTGAGCAAACGCCAAGATACACCGACTGATAAGAGCCAGGTCTTATTTTCTTTTGCAAAAACACCGCAAGATCTTCTGCTCTGCAACAATGTCAGAAAAAAAAAAACAAATCATGCAAATCACATGCAAATTATAAGATATTGGACAGGGTAAGTCTAATAATGAATGAAACAAAACTGTAGAAATTCCAGAGGTATCATTAGGAATAAAGATGCGGTATCGTAATGCTTTAAGATCCCAAACAAAGCCCATCCCAAACATCAAACAAAAAGCCAAAACTATAATCTGAGACTTTAGAGGGAAAAAAAAAAAAAAACAGAACAAAAAACCCAAACAAACCAGCACAAAACCTAAAATCCCCAACAAAAGTAATCCTACTTTTCCTCTTCAGAACGTATGCAGTATCATTTCGGAACAAAGACCCAGTTACATGCATATAGCAAAATAATCAAACAGCCTCTTTACCAAAAAACCAATTTACAAGAGTGGGACCCTACTTATCTTTCAGAACTATGTAGATTAATGATATGTTATTCTTCATCTCTCTCCTTCATTCAGTTTGGGCTTACTCACTTTGCATAAACACCTGGTTTGCATTTTGGTCATGAACTATCATCAACATACTTGTAAAAAAGAATGATTTCTGAAGCACAAAAACATCCTTACACCTCATTACAACGTACACGCAGTAGTACTTAAAAGTCACTGTCAAGTGCTAACTGATTTGACTTTTTTCCTTCTGCAGTCTTGTAATGCATCTTCTGTTTTGACATCAGTACTGTTTAAAAAGAATACGCTGGAGAGAATAGGAGGCCAAGAGTAAAGTATTACAAAGTTACATTTATACCAACACTCTGAAAAAACAGCTCTAAATCAGAGGTACTCTCAGCAAGAAGAGAAACCAAATAAAATTTGCTCTGTAACAAGTATGAAGCATTTGAAGGGAGATTAAAATACCAAAAAGCAAGCCACCCTCATTTCAAGTTGAAAGCGTTAACACCATACAGGCAGGCTCAGCAGGTTCTTATACAAGAGGCTTAAACCTACTCATGTTAAACCATCAAATTATTCATGAAAATAAAATCAGTCCTTGAGCTAAAGGTTTTCAGAAGCAAGACCCAAAAAATTATATCTGAAAGTACGACTGCAATGCAGACTCCCACAGAGCATAACTCGTGCTTTGCAAGAGCTACAACCCAATGAGATGTATGCATTAGAGCTTGCTTTTGCCTTAATCTAGCCTCTAAGTCAACTCCTTGATGCCAAGAGCTGCAGCCCAGACACCTGTGCCGGGCCACTGGAGCACTCCCAGAACCAGCCCTCCTTTCTACAGCCTTCTGCTCCTTTTACCTACGTGCTTCCCAACTATCTTCTCATACACACTGGGAAGCAAACAAAGATTTACAGTCATCTGTTTGGTTTTAAATCCTCCACCTCACGTAATCTGTGTTGCTGCCTCTACAGCTTGCCTTGCTGAACAGATGTGCTTCAGTGTACGGTTTTCTGCTCACAGGAGCACAGATTTATGCCTCATCTCTGCTCCTAGCTCTGTGCAGAGCCTTATTCTGAAGCAGCTTTCCAAATCTGTGCCACTTCAGCAGCTTCTCAAAAAGCTGAAGGAAATACAATGGGAATCAGGAAGGTGGCCATCAGTGCCAGAGGTACAGACTCTACATTTTACAAATGGATGGCATAGCTCCAAGCCCCCCAAAACCCAATTTACCTGTTATTTACCTGTTGTCAAGCGTTATCCCTGCTATGGATAACGCTTGACTCTTCTTCCATTAGGAGCCTGCACTACTTGAAGGCATGCTCTGGCACACTGATGATGCAACTTTCAAGTTGGAAACAAAGTCTGCAAACAGGTCTGAAAAGACGCCAGATATCAGAGAGGATCAAATCATAAAGGCATGCTAGAAAGTGCTGAACTCTGCCCTTGGGAGAAAAGCAGAGAGGAGGTTGGGAGTTACCTCTGCTAAACAAGGACCATCATCTTAATTCAGCATTCAACTCACATAATTCCCCTCTCCAGCACAGACAGGGTGCAAGAGTTTGTAACAGAATAAATGAAAAAATGCTTGGAGAAAAATCAGGTCAGCTTTTGTGTGTGTGTGTGGTGTTGTTTCTTTTTTTGTTTACAAACCCTGCTCCTACCTCTGCTCAGCCAGAATCTGATGAAAAATTTATTTTATAAAGATCACTGGTGAGCTTTGGGAAAAAGATTAGCTCTTCCATTCAGAAGCGTCCAGGAGAGAAACTGCCTCTATACCTATAACAGAAACAGTAGCAAACCTGCAGTAGTAACAGGACCCAGGACCAATTACCTAGATTTTACACTCTGCTGAAACTTAAAATATAAAGAGCGTTACCACAGAGTGTTCTAGGGCTGGAACTAGTTTAGCAGACGTATACCAAGACAGAACAAAAGTGACCCAACACCACTGGCTTAAAAGCCAATGGGATATGCAACACGGAATAAGAAAGTCATAATATTCTACTTCACTTCCCCAAGGTAAACACTCTGGCCTGCGATCACGAACAAGAGAATTACTAGTCTGGAAAGGAGAAATGAAATCAGCTACAACAACTTTTACCCTGTGTAGATGTTTCCAAGTAAGTCTGCATAGCATACAAGGTGTCCCTCTGGTACAGCTGTTCACCCCTAGTCAGTCTACCACTAACAGTTATGAGCTTTGTGAAAATATTAGGTTACATTTGGGCAATGTGGCAACTTAACAAATCAGGAGATAAGGCAAGATGACAGTCCTTCAACTCCTTATCCTAACCCAACCCACATATGCAGAATTGAAGCAATAAACACATGTTCTCCACAAGAAACAGGACTTCAAAGCTTGCAATTTGCTTAAAAACACATTTTTTTGATGCCTGCAATGATTCTCAAAAGGTGTTTTTTTATTATTTATGCACTTCTATTAAAAATTTATTCTTAGTATAAAACAGTCTGGCATACTTGGAAAGGAATAAAGGATTACAAGTTGCTTCCAAAGCTTTTAACAAAGGATCAACCCAGCTGTGACAGTATTTTCATCACGTTAATGTGAAAGAACACAAACTGAAGAACTACAAAGAGCTATAGGCACTTACAGTACCCCCTATTTCCTAGGTTGACCAGGTCTTGTCCTAACAGGTTACAGGGCCACTCCACGCTTGCACATCCTAATTTAGCAAACTGGCATTGCCCCACACCAGCTCCAAGCACGAGTTTCTCCACCATTCAAAAAACTATTACGCAGCACACAGAAATTACAACAGTAAGCTAGAAAGCATGCTCCTGCTATCAGCCTGCCACTGACAGCTCAGGATAACCTTAGCACTACTTGGTGTTTAATTAATGAAATCTTCACCTGGATGTGCTCTGGCAGCATTAAGAGTTTCATGAACTGCACCAACAGATGGCAGACAGGTCCTCTACAACAGTGGGCAGCAGCACCCTATTGCTAAGTTATTTGCTACCGTGCATACCCAAAGAGAGAAGCACTGGATCTTACCACTTCACCTTGGGTACCTATGTGCATCTTCCTGTCATTTTCCATGTCGACACTTGTCTTAAGAATCATTCAGGTCTTCCATGACAGACAGACAGACATTTGTGTAGCTGATCCATTTACAAAGTTAGCTTGAAAGGCAAACAATAACCGCTGAAGTCCCAGAATAACAGAGCAGGCTTGTTAGTTGTGTCCACCATCTCTAGCTAAACATGCAAATCCCAGGCTCAGGCAGCTCGCTGTTATAACCACAACTGTCCAATCTCCCGATGTTAAATGGTTCACAACAGATTATTAGATATTCATTACAGGGAGGAACCACGGCGAAACAAAACAGCCTCCAGACCAGCACAGTCTTGCTTTGCGGCATGCCCTGCTGCTGAAAGGCTAGGGAGAAGCACTTTGCTCCGCTTCCTGACAGCCTGCTCCTGAACACAGGTCCTCTGCATCACTGTCAGGTGTACACTCCATCATCTGCTGCCTTCTGCCCGTTCAGTGGGGCCCCGCAAACTTTTGCTTTCATTTAAGGAGAGCTTTTCTGCAGCTGCCAACTCTTCTCAAGCTGCTGCTGAAAAACCCTCCCACATTTCCCATTTCAGCCAAACCCATCCCCTTCGGCAGCAGCAAGGCGGTCGCTGGCCGCGGCTTGACTCCAAATGGCACGTGAAAAAAGGGCAGGGCAGGTCAACATCATCTTTACCAGAAGAATCTGGAAAAACCTCAGACCACAAAAGCTGATTATGGAGTAGGTGCCGCACACAGCTCCATAGCCAGGAGGAGCGCAGGCCTGTCTGACAAGCTGAGGGACACAAGGCTGAAGCACAGGCTCAGCAGCAGGCATTCCCTCAGAAATATTAAAAAGGGAACGGCTTAGGACCTCTGCAGGTAGCAGCACTGCTGAAAGCGGCTGCTGACAGAACTGTCC